ACCTCTTCCCTTACTAATAATTTCCTCCACACATGAGATGTTGCAGAATTCCTAACAACTGTAGGGTGTAATTTCTTACAATACTTATTGCGCATATAGTTACTCCATAATGAAGAAATGGACACCTTGAACCTCCACCATAGTTTGACAAACATAGCATTATTAACATCATGGAGAGATCGAATCCCAAACCCTCTTCTGCCTTAGGGTAACACATGTCATTCCAAGCTACCCAATGTTTTCCTTTTATACTTCCTGTATTTCCCCAAAAGAATTTTGCAAAGATCTGATGTATCTGTTCAATAATTTTCTTGGGGGGATTCATAGCAGGTAAAAGATAAAGTGGTAGCGATTGAAGAACATGGCTAATAAATATGTACTTACTTCTAAAGGATAGAAATTTATTCTGCCCAGACAAAATTCTTTGAGCCACCTTCCTCACCAAGTCTTCGAAGTAACTATTGATCTTTCTTCCATAAAACACAGGGCATCCCAAATAAGTGAAAGGGAAATTACCTTGTCTTATCCCAGTGAGTTTTCTCATTCTGATTGCCACTATCAAGGGGGCCTTGTCATAGAGATAGAAAGCACTCTTAGCCTTATTGATCATTTGACCAGATACTTCTTCATAATTTCTTATCATTGTCATCATCTTAATGACTGAAGGTCTATCCCCTGAACAAAATAATATTGTATCATCTGCATATGACAGATGGTTTATAGTTGGACTCCATTTTGGTAGACCATACCCTTTATAATCGTTATCACTGTGTAAGTTGTCTAAACCTCTGGCCAAAACTTTTGCCACAATGATAAATAGTGTTAGGGACAAAGGATATCCTTGTTTAAGACCTTTAGAAGACTAAAAGAAACTATTAAGCTGGCCATTAATGAGGATTGAATACCAATTACTCGAGATGAGTCTTCATACCATATTAATAATTACCTCCGAAAAACTAAACTTTCGCAGCACCTTCGTTAGGAAAATCCAGGACACTCTATTATACGTCTTAGCCATATCTAACTTCACAACCACATTAATATGTTGATTTCTCAGGTGAATATCCCTAATTATTTCTTGTGCCAACAATACATTTTCAGTTATGCTCCTTCCTTTAACGAAACCTGATTGGGTGGGAGATATAATCTTAGGTAACACCTCCGTTATTCTATCATGCACCAATCTCGATATAATCTTGTTTATAAAAGAGCTCAAACTAATTGGCCTCATGTCTGAAAAATTGTTAACATCCTCATTCTTTGATAATAAAATCATATTGGTGTGAGTAATAAGATTTGGCAGCGTTTTCCCACAAAAAAATGCAATCACTAATCTGGTGATATCAGCTCCTACAATTTCCCAGCAGGACTGAAAGAACAAGCCGGAAAAACCATCTGGTCCACTCACACTCTCTCCATTAAGCTCAAACACCACCCTTTTTATCTCCTTTTGTGTAGGAAGCTTTATCATTTTTTCATTTTCCTCTTCTGTGATCAACTTAGGCATATGTTTCAGCATTGAGTAATCTTGAGATGTCTCATCTGCCTTAAATTGCTCTGAAAAGTAATAGACTACTGCTTGCCCTATTTGCTGGTTTGTTTTCACCATCACCCCGTGCTCAATTACATATCTCTGCTAAATGTAACTTTTTCCTTCTTCCTTTAATATAAGAATGGAAGAATTTAGTGTTTCTATCTTCATCCACAAACCATTTCATTCCCCCCTTTTGCTTCTAATATTCTTCTTCAATCTTGAGGTATTTTCTCAATTCTCCCTCCATTCTACTCAGCTCCGCCCTATTTTCTACTGTAGAAAAAATCTCCAATTGAGTCTCCTTAACCTTGATCATATCCTCAACAGTAGCAATTTGTTGGAAAATGTTACCAAAGACATCCCTACTCCATTAGCTAAAGCTCTTTTTACCCTTTTCAGCTTAGCATGAACCTTCAAAAAAGGGCTACCAGTAAACTCAATCCTCTAGTGTTGTTGTACTACTTCCTTGAATTGATGGTGTTTAGTCCAAAAATTCAAAAAACGAAAAGGTTTCACCAATGGTTCCTCTTCTGTATCACAAATCAAATGAAGAGGAGCATGATCTGATCCCTGTCTAATTAAATGATGAACTTCACTAGATGGGAATTCATCTGTGAACAAAGCATTCAGTAAAATTCTATTCAATCTCTTGAATATACAAGTTTCCTCTATTCGTCCATTCCATCAAGTATATTTACTCCCTGAAAATTTCACCTCAGTCAACGCACAATTGCTAATACAAAGAGCAAAATCAGTAGCCTCCTATTGAGTGAATTCAAGGCCTCCCAATTTCTCTTCCTTATTAATAACTACATTAAAATCACCCCAACCATCTAAGGTATCCGCCAATCTTCTGCGATACCTTTTAATTCCTCCCATAATTCTAATCTATCCAACACATTACACCTAGCATATACTGATGAAATAATGAAAGACCTATTGTTTTTACAAAATTTCATAGATATGTGTTGTATAGAATCCATAAGCAAAGTACCCTCCCAATCATCCCTCCAAAAGATTCAATTTTTCCCGAAACAGTTAGCTAGGGCATTATCAAAACCTAACTTTCTTTTGTATTGGTCTAACTCTAATGGATCCTGAAAAGGTTCCATTAAAGCTACAAATGAATAGTGATGTCTACTATTAAGATCCATCAATCTCCCAAAAGAATTTTGAGTGTTAACGAATCTAATATTCCAAAAAATAGCCTTTTCAATCATTTATCACTATTGGAATATTTGTCCTTGCTACTCCTTGTTTTGACTTGAAGCGGAATGGTGGGTTTTTCTCTTTTTGCCTTCAAACTATTCATGTGCCTTGGAGATAAGTCCCCTGCTATACTGATCTGCTGGATATTATAATCCATTTAGTCATCTTCTTCTGATACTTTTCTATGTTGTATTTCTTCCTCTGATTCGTCAATTAGGTTTGGAGCTTCTTTTCGTTGTACCTCTGGATAATTTTTCTTCATCATTTCATCACTTCTTATTACAATATTATCCTGTTGGTGTTCCTTCTCATGCATACTACCGCCGTCAACAGTAAGGGGAGTATTCACTCCCATGTTGCTAGATATTTCCTCAGATCCTCCATTCTTTAACAATATATACAAATTTTCTGCCCATATGTTAATGTGATTGCCTTATGCCCCTGGTGATGTTCTTTTTTTTGTTTTCCAAAGGAACTTTCGACCCATTCTTTGGATGATTCTTTCACTACGTGTTCACTTTGCCTGTCTGATGCTTGGCCTTCTCCTCCTTTAGAGCTCTCCATCATTTAACCTTCCTTTTCATCTTTCTTTAAAGCTTCAAATTTGTTTCCGGTTGGTATTTCCACCTTGGCCCAAACTCTATTTGGCTGCTTTGTCCACCCTCCCTTTTTAGTTTTTGGTTCGTCAAAATTTTTGATCTTCTCCATTTGTTGAGGTGCATTCCTTTCTTCCATCCTATCACTGTCTTTTTCTCGATTATATTTGTTCTCCTTTTCCTCTTTCGCATCTGCTTCCATATTATTCTTCTCCTTCTTTGGATACAATTCTGGATGTTCCATGTAACATTGTTGCTCATCATGTCCTTGTATCATGCATGTCTTACAGTATTTTGGAACGTAGTCATACTTTATTCTCACCCACTTCTCCATTATCTCCCCATTAGTTTTCTTCATGCCTATTTTGATTCTTTTGGGAAATTCTCCGAGCAAATCCACCTCCATTTTGACTCTAGCACAACTGGGTCTTGTTTGGTTCCTTGTCGCCATGTCAACCTGTAAAGGTTTACCCACTGTCGCTGCCAATGAGAACATCGTTTCTCTACCAAAAAAAATTTGATGAGAGAAATGGAAAGGATATCCAAGCAATGGCTATAGTCGTCTCTTCTTCGGGATCAAACATTGGATCCCACTTCAATGTTCTCATAGGGAAAGAGCAACTCCTTTGTGCAATGTAGAAAGCTGGTTTGGACAGTAAGTGCACATAGTCCTCCATTAAAGTTGCTCGAATGAGGACATGCCTATTGCTAAGCAGCCCAATTTTGCATTCCCCCTTGAGCTCACACTGTTTTGGAATCAGTTTCCTCAAATCTTGAATATCCGGCCATTCAAATGAAAATTTTCCAACTACAACATATTCCAAATTTTCATTAATTATCATCTGCTTTATTTCCTCCTGCTCCCATAGTATTGTAGGTTCCCCATGTAGGTATGATATTTGCTTCAACGATATTGGTTTAGTATCGAGTGATATTGGTTTTAGTTTGTCCGCATACGAAATAAAGGGATTTGAGAGTAAAGCGGGTTGACCAACCTCAGTGGGAGGTTAGCCACCGGCTGTAGTGGCCATTACCACCGGAAAATATTGAAAAGTATGATCTTCCTAGAATTATTAGTCGTGTTTTATTCAACTTTGGGAGTTAATTTTCGTTCATAGGAAAATTAGTCCCTAATCAGTGATCCACATTAATGTATCACTCATTCATTACCACAAAATGCCATATCATATCTTTTAAAGAGAGAATAATTGAAAACTCAGCGATGAATTATTAGTTTCATTTTTAAATTATTGTCAAATTTAAAAACATCTTTTAACTTGACTAATTATATTTAAATACACTTTCGATCTTGCAATATGAGTTAAATACACTCTTAAATTCTTGTAAAGTTTAAAGTTACTTTCAACACTTCTCTCGATATTTTATGAAGAGTCTCGTGCTTTTAAAAATGTTTGAGACCACTCGCGCTATGTCATGTTACACATATCTAAGTTTAGTTAGTCAAGTTTAGAGGTGTTTTCAATACTTTTTTTTTTAATTTACGCATATTTGATTGGTCAAAATATTTGAAAAATAATTTTTTTTCAGGAAAATAAGCTACTCATTGGAAGTGACTTCCCTAGTAAAAGTAACGAAAATAAATTTTATAAGTGATAATTTAAGTTCATCGTCTCCTTCCCACTCACACAACATTCCTAATCTCAAGCTAGCAGTGTCTAGTATTCACCAAATTTATCCTTAGTTATAAACCTATCCATAATCATTAGAAGCTGATTACAACAAGAAAGTTTACACCACTAACAAAAGCAAGAATTAATGGAAAATAAAGTTGTTGAAGAGAAACAACACATGAATATCCCTCTAATGATCCCTTATAAAATGGGAAACTTTCATTTATCACATAGAGTTGTATTGGCACCATTATCAAGGTAAAGATCTTATGGCAATGTTCCTCAACCACATGCAATACTTTATTACTCACAAAGAACTACAAAAGGTGGCATTCTAATAGGAAAGGCCACAGTAATTTTTGAAACTGGCATAGGGTATAAAGATATACCTGGTTTATGGACAAAGGAGCAAGTAGAGGCTTGGAAACCAATTGTAAATGAAGTTCATGCGAAAGGAGGAATTTTATTTTCCCAAATTTGGCATGTTGGTAGAGTTTCCAGCAAAGGTAAATGATTTTAGACATTTTTTGTCAAGTCATATTTGATGCTTTTGAGTGAAATATATGTATTACTAAAAATGTAAATTTTGTGGAAATTAACTAGAGCTAATTTCTCAAATGATCACTCAACTACTCCTTTCTATAGATTTTGGAATCGACAAGTAGGGTGACTTTTTGAGATGATAATTTTTAGTTGATAAAACAACCATTCTTAACTGACTCTTTTTCTATAGATTTTGGAATCGAAAAGATCAAGATTGACTTTGTGAGATGATAATTATTAGTAGCTGATAAATCAACCCTTCTTAACGGACTCATTTCTACATATTTTGAAATCGAGAAAAAATGTGACTTTCTAATGAAATAATAACTACTAGTTGATAAATCAACCTTTCTTAACTAACTTCCTTTCTACAGATTTTCAGCCCAAGTGCTTTGGGACTTTACATGGTGGAATCGTTGAATAAGTATGATATCGCGTATTGCCACGTAGTTGAGCCTAGGATGAAAACAGCTTGCGAAAAAATTGAATGTTCTGAATGCCTTATACCTTTGAGGAAGGCATATAAAGGTATTTTTATAGTAGCTGGTGGTTATGATAGAGAAGATGGAAACAGAGTTGTGGTTGAAGATCGAGCTGATCTTGTTGCGTTTATTCATATCTAATCCAGATTTACCAAAGCGATTTGAGCTAAATGCTCCTCTTAACAAGTATAATAGAGTGACATTTTATACGCTAGATCCTGTTGTTGGCCATACTGATTATCCAACTCTAGAAACCATGACATGATTGGATTCCTTGGTAACTAATTATCAGAAACAACATTGTAATGAATCTATCAAGTTTTATTGAAGAAATATAATTTCAGTTTCTTTTCGTTAAGCCTCAAGTATGGTTGTCACCCATCTTTGAAAATACTTACTATCATGAAATTTCAAATTTGAGGACATTGTAGAGGGGTTCAATTGTGAATATAAAATTTCATGACAATGATTATTTTTTCGATTGTATAGATTGAAATTGTTGAAGCCAATTTTGGTGAAGATTTGTGTTACACACTTGAACACAAATCAATTGAAATGAAATATGATGAACCCTTGTCTACATACAACCTCAAAGATGGCTCAATTATTAAAGTAACATGGTATGTTGATTCACCTTAGTTAAATTTGGATTATAAAGGCTTCTACAAATACTGTATAGTGATACTACATTTAAGTTAAGTATTTTTTAAAAGTTTATGAAGTAAGTCCAAGAATATGATCATGTATGGATGAACATCTTTATTATTATCCTTAGTAACTAGCGATTGGAAACATCATTGTAATGAACCTATCAAGTTCTATTGATTTCTTTTTGTTAAGCCTCAAGTAAAAATACAGTTATCACATGTCTTTAAAAATATTTGCTATCGTGAAATTTCAAATTCTACATGTAAAGTTTCAAGACATTAATGTCAAGGGGGGTTCACTTGTGAAATTTAAATGTTAATTTACTTTCTCTATCTTATAATTCACTTTCTTAACCAATTAAATGTGAATTTTGATGGGGAAATTTCAAATTATGGTTGGAATCAAGGAAGATAAATGCTCACTCACCCTTAACGTAACTGTTGTAAATTTTGATTTTGATGATTGATCGATCAGATGAACGGATTTGATATCTCCAATGATTTCACGCAAAGTCAAATATTACAGTTGTAAAGCATATCATTTTGCACAGTGGGGTAGGGTGGTAGGGCAGTCTAGCAATAGGACCACGATGTCTTTTTTCCTTCTTGACCAATGAAAAGAGTTTAAGGGTTTAAAGAGTATTTAATACCATTTGCATATGACTTCCAATTTTCATAATCATTAATTCATTAGGTAGTCATTTGGAAATAGCGCGTGTGGCACATTTTTATTGATTGTTAGCGTTTAGAGAGATTGTGACTATTAAACTAACAAATCAAAAGGGATAATTAAGCAAAATTTAAATTTGCACCACAAAAAATTTAAATTTTAAATTTGGATAAAATTTGCCAAATTCAAGGGACTTCGATTTATTTCACCAAAATTTTTGGGTAAAGGGTCTGAAAAATACTTCAATTTTGGTCGAAATTGTTGTTACGATACCAAATTTTATGGAGGACCTTTTACCCCCTACACTATTTAATAGTGTATTTTAAAGGTATATATGTGTCCACGTGGACACATTACTATTTAAAATGGTGCAATATTTATGATGTCCACATAGACACATATATACCTTTAAAATACAGTATTAAATAGTACATGGGGGGTAAAGGTCATTTTTAAAGTTTGGTATCGAACAACAATTTTGGCCAAAGTTAAAATATTTTTCAGATCATTTTCCCAAAAAAATTATATAGTTATTCACCGATAACGATAGGCGATAAGTATTACTACTATTCATAGCAAAACAACAAAAGAGAAGACTTCAAAAATATAAACTTTGCTTCTTATATTTGAGTTCCTCTCTTGTCATCTAGTGAGAAATAATACTCTCCGTCTCATATTAGATTGGGTATCTTATTAAAAATATTTGTCTCATATTATCTGATCATTTATTAAATTAGGATATAATTAATTATTATTTTCTCATTTTCCTGCTATAATTAATTTGACCTTTGGAGGTCTAAACAAATTTTAAAGATCTAAAATTTCTTTTTCCAAGAGGCTAATCAATATAAACGAAGAGCAAAATAGTAAATTGATCAATTTATTAATAATTTCTTAATTATCGTGTAAAATAGAAAATATCAATCTAATACCGGACAAAAGGAGCAGTGAAAAACAAACTATTATAATTATTATTGTGACATCGAATCCAATGAAGCTATTTCCTCTAATTTATTTCTAGCATTTTACGTCCACATTATTGTAGAACTCATTCATTACCACAAAATACATTATCATCTTTCCTATCAAATAAATAAAGACACATAATGGAAAATTTCAGAAAATATTTATATTTAGAAAAAATAATTAGCTCCTAATTACAAAAATAAGGAAAGTAGCTTTTTAAATAAATTTAAGAGAAATAAGTTTTATAATTAACAGTTCAAATTTATTGTCTCCTCTCCACCCACCTATATATCCTCCCTAATCCCAGCTAGCACAGGTACCACACCTTGTATGTATTATTCATTGGCACGAATACCACGCCTGATATGACATATCATCAATTGGCTCGAGTACCACACTTGATACAAGTTGTCATTTGGTTGGATTGTGTCCATTATTCACCAATTTCACCTTTGTTATAAATATATCCATAATCATTACCAACTCATTAACAAGAAAGCTTACACCACTAGCAAGAATTAATGGAAAATAAAGTTGTTGAAGAGAAACAATACATGAATATCCCTCTAATGACCCCTCTAACCCGAGTGCTTTGGGACTTTACATGATGGAATCGTTGAATAAGTATGATATCGCGTATTGCCACGTAGTTGAGCCTAGGATGAAAACAGCTTGCGAAAAAATTGAATGTTCTGAAAGCCTTGTATAATAGAGAGACATTTTATACGTATCTAATCCAGATTTACCAAAGCGATTTGAGCTAAATGCTCCTCTTAACAAGTATAATAGAGAGACATTTTATACGTCAGATCCTGTTATTGGCTATACTGATTATCCAATTCTAGAAACCACGACATGATTGGATATCCTTGGTAACTAGTGATCAGAAACAACATTGTAATGTATCTATCAAGTTCTATTGAAGAAATATAATTTCAGTTTCTTTTTGTTAAGCCTTTAGTATGGTTGTCACCCGCTTTAAAAATACTAATTACTATCATGAAATTTCAAATTTGAGGACATTGTTGAGGGGTTATGACTATCTTTTATATGGTATAGATTGAAAAATACTAATGTGCTTCGTGAAAATTGGGCCCTCCCTCTAACAGTTAGCCCATGACCTTCTATTTTAGTTCAATGAAAATATTGTTAGATGTTAGGTGGTGTTATGTAATATATTTGTGGTAATAAAAAGTTATATCAGAAAAATATCACAAATCTTTTATAAAGAAATGAAGATTTGAATGATGAGAATGTTTGGTGAGTAAGAGGAGAATGGTAGAGTAGCAGACACATTATCCAATGAGTTTTGAAATGTGCGTCATTACTTTTAAAGATTCTTTTATTTTAGCCGACATGGTGGGTTATTATTTTTAAGTGAAGAGTTGAATAATGTGAATGTTTGGTGGTTAAGAGGAGAAGGGTAGAGCAGCAGACACATCATCCATCGAGTTTTGAACAGTCCGTTATTGACTTTCAAAGATTTTTTTTTAGGTGACATGATGGGTTATTATTTTTAAGAATTTTCCTCCTCACCTTTTTATAGTATTTTTTGTGATCTACATACAAGCTAATTAGACGAATATTCTTATCATATTTACTAAATCCCTATATACTTTAAAATAATTGCATATCCCTCTCCTCCTCTTTCTCTCGCTTACTCTCTCCATCCTTTTTTGTTCAATTATAGTGTGTATTTATGCATAGTTTACTTTGATACTAGATTCATGTATCTTTACACAAATACATTGTATATCAATACATATGTTTGATATCATATATACATGTATTTGAATCATATACATGTATTTATGTACAAATACATTTATTATTAGATATCAAATTTATTGATAAAATTGATACCAGATACATGCGAGGATGAAACTAATATCAAATATGCTGAATGAATATAATGTATGTTTGGATAAAATGCACTTGAAGATACATATATTTGAATCAATATTTTTTGATAGAAAATATAATAAAAAAAACTAGTATTTCAACAAGTAATTATCACGAGTAATAGTGTGATTTGTGTTGTTTCAACTACTTTTATACCCTTAGAGAAATAATAAGATTGAAAAGTCAATTATACATCGTTAATTTATCCTTTTATATGTTACTTCAAAAATTGAACCACCATAAGTCAATACTTGTCCGATTCAATCAAGCTATTTGCTCTAATTTATTTCTATCAAACATTTTACGTCCACATTATTTTCCACTCTTATTCATTACCATAAATACCTTATCATCTTTTCTGTATAAAATAGAGACGTTTGTGTGTTTGGTACGCAAAATATTTTCGAGAATTATATTTTTCAATTTTCGCATGTCTGGTTACTTAAATTATTTTCTCTATGAAAATAAATTCCTCACAAATAAGAAAAATAATTTCCCTATTAAAGTAAAAAAAAAAAAAACAAATAAGTTTATAAGTGACAATTCAAGTTTATTGTCTTCTCCATACCAGTGTTGAACCCTCACTGTCCACCCCATCCTGGTTACAAATTCATTGAGATAATATATATATTTTTTACTTTATATTTTGATATTCCTTAATAAAAATTCTGGTTCCGCCATAATTCATATGGTGGATGGAGAAAGAAAAAAGTAGTCTCTTATACACCAATTCCTCCTTTGTTATCTATAAATATATCCATAATCATTTTAAAGATTATACTATGACCAAAAAAATGGAAAATAAAGTTGTTGAAGAGAAAAAAGTAGGCATGATCCCTCTTATGACCCCTTATAAGATGGGAAACTTTGAGTTATGTCATAGAGTTGTATTGGCACCATTATCAAGGCAAAGATCTTATGGCAACACTCCTCAACCACATGCTATACTTTACTACTCACAAAGAACTACAAAAGGTGGTCTTCTAATAGGAGAGGCCACAGTAATTTCTGAGACTGGTAGAGGGTGCAATGATACACCTGGTATATGGACAAAGAAGCAAGTAGAGGCTTGGAAACCAATTGTAAATGCAATTCATGCTAAAGGAGGAATCTTCTTTTCCCAAATTTGGCATGCTGGTAGAGTTTCCAACAAAGGTAAATGATCACATAATC